CACCTCAATCATATACTCATATAACCCTTAATTATCAAGTAAAAAAAAAAGAAAGAAAAAAAAAGAAAGGAAAAAAAAGAAAAAAAGAAAAAACAAATGCTACACAATACATAATAAAACCCCCCTAAGGACTTACATCGCAGGATGATAGAAGGCCGCAATGGTTGTGCTCTCTCTTGCCGCCTGCACGTGTCTCTCTTGACTCCTGCAGCCGGGGTTCACATTAGGCTGACCAACAGGCATGATGGGAAGCAGTGACCATCGCATGAACTCTTGCACGTTGCTCTGGTACATGCCCATCCCTCCCATCATGTGAGGGTCGCCCATGCCCCCTCCCATGTTGTTCATGAGCATTGGAGACATGCCGAGCCCCAAGCCACGGTTCTTGCCCATGGCCTCGCGTTCTCGCTGCTTATCCAGCGTCATCATCTCGTGGAATTTGATGGTGTTCACGTTCACTGTGGAGGAGGGGGGGGTGAGGTTAGGAAAAAAAGGCTGATGGAAATGGAGCAACACAAGTTAATCATTGTTCAGAATGAGGAGGGTAGTTATTCAGAATGAGGAGGGTAGTTATTCAGAATGAGGAGGGTAGTTATTCAGAATGAGGAGGGTAGTTTTTCAGAATGAGGAGGGTAGTTATTCAGAATGAGGAGGGTAGTTTTTCAGAATAACGAGATGCACTAAATGAAGTTCAGTTGAAAGGCTTTATAGGTGAAAAGCATTCTTCACATTTTTCATGTTTGTTCCTAATCTGTTAGTAGTCCCAACATACCTACACCTTCACTGCCTAAATATGTGTCCTATTAACAACACACCACAATTGAACATTTCTATTTCTTGAAGAGTTCATAATAAACAATATTATTACACATGGCTGCATACAATATAGTACAAAACCTCCTCCCACTCGATAAAATAAATGATTTTATATAGCCATACCAAACAATTTTCCAGAATCACACTATTAACATACTCTATATCCATTCTACTTTGATATATGAAGTTAATATTCACTATGGAAGTTCAGATCAAATAACATTAGAAATGTCCATATTATGAAAGTTAACCACAGATCAGAGAGTTTAATGAACTGAAATGATAAAAAAACAAAGAAATTTTATATATTTTTTTTTTACAATTAGAGAATAGTGTAATCATAAATTATAGACATGCATTATATCTTTATGGTGAAGAACTGGTAAAATGTCTAGAGTGAGAACAAAATACAAAATAACTATATGAGAAATATGAACGGACTATATTAAGACTTTCATACCTCACTTAGAAATGTGTGTGTGTGTGTGTGTGTGTGTGTGTGTGTGTGTGTGTGTGTGTGTGTGTGTGTGTGTGTGTGTGTGTGTGTGTGTGTGTGTGTGTGTGTGTGTGTGTGTGTGTGTGTGTGTATATTTTGGGGGCTTCATGTGTTACATCTTCAAATCTTTTAACTTGGAAAACTTTTTTTGCAAAGTAAAACCATAACTGTTATATTAATCTGATTTCTAAGTATTGAAGAGTGTGCTTGGATGCTTTTCAGTGATAGTATGACTAACAAAAAATCCACACAATTGCAAAATATGTCATACAATAAAGAAAAGAAGATTGCAAGTGGAAACTGCAAAAGATCCTACATAATCAAATAGGTATGTAAATGAATATCAAATAATTGAATCAAAAAGACAATTCAAAAAGATGAGAGAGAGAGAGAGAGAGAGAGAGAGAGAGAGAGAGAGAGAGAGAGAGAAAGAGAAAGAGAAAGAGAAAGAGAAAGAGAAAGAGAAAGAGAAAGAGAAAGAGAAAGAGAAAGAGAAAGAGAAAGAGAGAGAAAGAGAGAGAAAGAGAGAGAGAGAGAGAGAGAGAGAGAGAGAGAGAGAGAGAGAGAGAGAGAGAGAGAGAGAGAGAGAGAGAGAGAGAGAGAGAGAGACAGAGACAGACAGAGACAGACAGAGACAGACAGAGACAGAGACAGACAGAGACAGACAGAGACAGACAGAGACAGAGACAGAGACAGAAAGAGAGAGACAGAGACAGAAAGAGAGAGACAGAGACAGAAAGAGAGAGACAGAGACAGAAAGAGAGAGACAGAGACAGAAAGAGAGAGACAGAGACAGAAAGAGAGAGACAGAGACAGAAAGAGAGAGACAGAGACAGAAAGAGAGAGACAGAGACAGAAAGAGAGAGACAGAGACAGAAAGAGAGAGACAGAGACAGAAAGAGAGAGACAGAGACAGAAAGAGAGAGACAGAGACAGAAAGAGAGAGACAGAGACAGAAAGAGAGAGACAGAGACAGAAAGAGAGAGACAGAGACAGAAAGAGAGAGACAGAGACAGAAAGAGAGAGACAGAGACAGAAAGAGAGAGACAGAGACAGAAAGAGAGAGACAGAGACAGAAAGAGAGAGACAGAGACAGAAAGAGAGAGACAGAGACAGAAAGAGAGAGACAGAAAGAGAAAGACACAAAGAGAAAGACACAAAGAGAAATCCATCAACATCCCCTTCCCTCCCCTCCCCTCCCCTCCCCTCCCCCTCATAAAACACACACACACACACACAAATCGACAACCCACCTCTCTCCGTCTCGTCCAACTCGAAGAAGAACACCTCCTTGAGATCCTCCTCGGCTTTCCACTTGACATTTTTCTTCTTCCTGTTGGCCGACCTGTGATAGACCAGCACACCGGGGACGTCCACCGGGTGAGGAGCTGAGAACGTGACTTCCACCTTTTCGTAGTCCTCCTGGGCAGGCGCAGGCACAGCGGGGGCGTGAGGAATGTCTTCGTCTCGTACTGTGGACGAAGGAGGCAATGTATCAGTTTTTCAGTTTTTTTTTTTTTGTTTTTGGAATGTATCAATCTCTCTATTTTTTTGTGTGTGTTCTATTTTTTTGGATGGGTGTGGATTTGTATGTCTGTAAAAGGTTGTGTTGGTAGGTTTGGTGATACTATGGAATTGTGTAATGGCTTAGCGAGGATTCACATGATATATTTTTTTTTTATCTTTATTAATGGCAGTGAAGACTATAGAGCTTTATCTATTACTGTTAGAAAGAATTGTCATATCTGAATCATTACTTTCACAAAAGACTTAGTACTTAAATCGTCCATTTTAAAGCCTCTTGAAAGATGGGAAATTAAGATCATCAAGAGTGTAAAGTTATTTTGAAACCAAAAATAAAATAACAGAATTCTAATTATGTACAAACTTAACAAAACACAAAGACACTAATAATTGATATCTGTAATACTAATAAAAGCAAATCTGCAAAACCAAAAACAAGCCATGACAACTATGAATTAAACATATCACTTGCTAAAATATTACAAAAACAAACTATATCACATTCATAAGCTACTTCTTAATATCCCGAAGCTAATGCATTCTATACATCCCCTACGTTGCAAAATATAACCTATAGGTATCACCAATTCAACAGTGACTTTTTTCATATTCCATTCCAGTTAATCAAACCATAAATATCCCTTTGATATTGCAAAACGAATCAAGTTTCATTTACCTCAACCCTTACCCACTGCCTTGCTTACCATCATAACAACCCCCCCACCCCCACTACTTTATCACAGTCATTCTTTACTTTATCTCGTTTCTATTCCATTTCAATTCTCCTATCTTTATCCGTTTCTCTCGTCTCCTCTTCTCCCACAAGCCATTCTTATCACTATCATTAACACAAGCATTATCTCTACACGATGTAATCATTGTTTAATTACACCTTCGGAATTTGTGCTATAAACTTGAGCAATCTTTAATGACCAGAGGGAAGAGCCTATTAAGTGGTACATGCATCAACTTAAACATTAATTACTGTCATTATGTTACAAGCATCACACTCCATGCCTATTTTGTATGAGGATGATGGTAATGATGATAAGTAATAATGATGATGATGATTGATGAATGATTGATGAATGATGATGATGATTAATGATGATGATGATGATGATGATGATGGTGGATGATGGATGATGGATGATGGATGATGGATGATGGATGATGGATGATGGATGATGATGATGATGATGATGATTAATGATGATGATGATGATGATGATGATGATGGTGATGATGGATGATGGATGATGGATGATGATGATGGATGATGGATGATGGATGATGGATGATGGATGATGGATGATGATGATGATGATGATGATGATTGATGATGATGATTGATGATGATGATGATTGATGATAATGATGATGATAACGAAGACGATGACGATGATTGACGAGTGCAGATGACGACCACAACAAATGAAGGCAGTAACACTACTAATAACAACCAAAGTTCAAAAGAGAAATTAAAACAAAGCAAGTGGTAATCTAAAACAGCGAACAACAAAGGCAAAATTCCCGGAGAGAGTAATTCAAACGTAAAACACAACATCTTCACTCAAGCAATGAAAAGGGAATAGATATTTCATGCTAATAAGGCAATTATAAATGACACTACCGGCTATTTTCACACAACACAAGCAAAACGGTAAAAACAAATAAAAAAAATAAATAAATAAAACGTTAACGTGGCTTGCTTACACACACAAAATACTAAAACAGAAGCACAAATCAAAACAGACACACGGATCTTGCAAAAATCCACAGAATCTACAGAAATAGAGATGCACTCTATGGCTACTTCGCCAGCTGCTAAAATACTAACGTCAATTATTTCCTCACATAATCTAATTCTCAAATATACGGGAATAATAAGCAGAACCCCCTCCCCCCCGCATGAACCCACAAATTAGGTCCAAACTGAAGGAAAGGAAATGTCTCATAAGAAAAACTGTCCAGTAACATACGAGAAAAAAGGAAAACTGAATAAATATGGCTTGAAATACCAACTACCCATTACAATGTATCTACCAATCCCCAAGTGTAATTCATGGTAGTCGAAGCAGCTATATTTCTGTATACTTGATAAAGAGAACAGAGAAAGGAAAAAAAATATGTACTGATGAAAAACAACGACAACAACAACATACATAGAGAAAATAAATTAATTCATCTAAAAAAGAAGAAGAAAAAGTAAGCATTCAACACCCAGCACCAACGACTACATACCCGTTTCCCCTTCATCTCCACCATACAGCCCAACACCATCACCAACACCACCACCAACACCAGCACCACCACCAACACCGCCAGCCTGAGAAGCGCCTTTGTCCTCACTTTCTTCATTTTCCATTTCCGGCTCATCTTCATCGCCGGTCACTTCCTTCATTTCGACGTCGCCGCCCCCGTTCTCTTCCGTTTTCTCCTTCTCCTTCTCCTCCTCCTCTTCCTCCTTCGCTTCCTTCTCGTTCGTCTCCATCTCCTCCTCTTCTTCTCCTTCGTTCTTCTTCGCCTCCGCCGTTTCCTTCTTTTCTTCCGCTTCGTCTTCGTCCTTTAAGGTCTCTTGGTAGAACTGCGGGAGAGGAACAGACGTCAAAATTTGTCACACGAAGAGAACGGAAATATTGAAGGGAGGACTTTTCTCTCTCTCTCTCTCTCTCTCTCTCTCTCTCTCTCTCTTTTGTTCTCTCCCTCTCTCTTTTGTTCTCTCCCTCTCTCTTTTGTTCTCTCCCTCTCTCTTTTGTTCTCTCTCTCTCTCTTTTGCACTCTCTCTCTTTTTACATCAATAAGGACACAAAAGATTATAATTCGTGGTTCCGAATAACTCTTAATACACTTATAGGTATAGATTTGTATACAATCATCATATCGAATCACAGACGCCTAAAAGATATTGTAAGAAAAATCCTGTTTAATTATCAGCGAGAGGTCAAGCGAAACTAAAAGTGTACAAGAGAGTATTCAGGTTGTGAATTCTGGTATGAAACTGCCAAGAAAATTGTCATTTATGAGACGAGTTTGAGTATTCTTAGAGAAAGGAAGAGAGAGAGGAAGAGAAAGAGAGGAAGAGAGGAAGCGAAAGAGGGAGAGGGAGAGGGAGAGGGAGAGGGAGAGGGAGAGGGAGAGGGAGAGGGAGAGGGAGGCAGGGAAAGGAGGAGAGAGAGAGAGAGAGGGAGAGGGAGAGGGAGAGGGAGAGGGAGAGGGAGAGGGAGAGGGAGAGGGAGAGGGAGAGGGAGAGGGAGAGGGAGAGGGAGAGGGAGAGGGAGAGGGAGGCAGGGAAAGGAGGAGAGAGAGAGGGAGAGGGAGAGAGTTACATGAAAAAAAATATATAAAATAAATAAATAAATCATTATAACCTATCTAAATATCTATCCATCTGTATACACACACAAACACACACACACACACACACACACACACACACACACACACACACACACACACACACACACACACACACACACACACACAACCTCAAACAAATAGCCTTATGAAAACAAAGATAAAACAAATATGGGAACAAAAAACAAACAAACAAACAAAAATAAAAGATAAAAAATAAACCATAAAAAGAGAAAAATATACAATATTAAAAAAAAAAAAACTCACATTGAACATGGGCTTGACACTCGTAGGCGACAGAACCGCCTTCTCCTCCAGCTTCGAGGGCGAGCTACTCGGCGACCTGACTTCCTCCTTCTTCTCCTCGTCGTCTTTGCCCTCGCCCTTCCCTTCCTTGGGGTCACTCTCACTTGACCTCCTCTTCCTCGTGACTTTTTTCCGCGTGCTGTCGGGCCCGGCGGCGGTCAGAGCTGCCATGAAACCGCCGTCATCCGATAACGAAGCTGTAAGGAAGGAAAAAATATATATATATAAGGAGGGACTTAGAGTGATTTGGTTGATTTGTGATTAATATTACGAGTAATACATTGATAAATGGATAATGTTGGAGGGAGAGCGAGAGAGAGAGAGAAAGGAGGAAGGAAGAGAGCGAGAAAGAAAAAAGAGGAAAATATATATATATATAAACGAAAAGATCTTGAGGAAAGCAGTTTCTCCAACAGACTCGGCAAGAAAAAATATCTGAAAAATGAAAAGAAAAGCCTTTGTAGATGAGTTTTGAATATCTCTGCATTGAAGTCAAGACCAACATTGCATGGTGACAATTAGTTAGTGGCCAGACATACACTAATCGTCGTCCAATTATGTGACGGAAATTGTGTGTTATTACAACCACTAGGAACGACCCCTAAACTACCCACGATCAATTTGTCCCCCAAAATCATGGGTATAAACCGTAAGAAAATAGTACTCTGTAGTATTCTCTTTCTTTCATCAATACTTCATTTTCCGACGAATCCCGCTGGCAGTTTCTAACGGTTGCAGTAAGCGATAGTTTTTTCGTCATGCGGAGGACAATTTTTAAGCCTACAAGAAAAGGCGGTACTTCCCAACTTGTTATAAATACGTTTAGATACTTCCTGTCCCGCACGCACAGATACATTAAGAACTATGAGAAGGGTCAGCATTAAGTAATTATTCACAAATGGCAAGGAATTCTCCCCCCCCCCCGCCCCGTTCCCGCCTTTCCCATCATGAAAGACATCGCGAAAAGATGACAGGGGAAGCAGAAGGCAAAGAGAAAACGGACAAGGAAGAAGAAAAAGAGAAAACGGAAGTACGAACTAAAGCAAAAGAGCAGGTGGCCATGTCGACATCCTGGAGTGACCGCCACGTGTCCACTCCATTAAAGTGGCATTGTCAATCCCCTCCCCACACCCCCCCTGCACGTGTGCTCTCCGTTATTCGAGTTTCTCTAAGGGTTACGCCACGTTACCCTCCCTCCATAGATAGCGGGCTCACTAACCAAAAACGCGTCTGTAAATCCATCGGATAAAACCGGTTTCCTTTCGTGGTTGCCGCCTGCCATATTTCCTTTTTTTTTTTTCTTTCCTTCCCTTTTTTTCTAGCTGTCTCCACGAGATTCCCTTTTCATTCCCTTGAAGCAAAGACCCTTAACCCTTAAAAATCCTTTTGCCTCGGAGGAACATTATTAAAAGATTTGCTATTAGCAGTTCCGAGTCACTGTGGCCAATCCTGATGCGGAGATAACGACTAAATTTATTATCTCTACAGTTTATAAACAGAACAGAAGCACGTGTTTGAGTGATGTATGTTGAGTGGATCTTGCAGCGTTGACTGATGAGGTTAAGATTCCTTTGCCGCGTTGAGATTGTTGCTGTAGTCACGTTGCAAAATAGAAGAGGTACGTTACACAACCCTTCCATTAATGCGCTTGCTGTTTTCCTGGCGCGTTCACCACCTTGCTTTTAAATCTTTCATTTTATAACTGCCCGTCCAGTGTAGTTTGCAAGATCTAGCTTCGTGGTGAATGCAGCATACAGAAACTTCAAACAAACCAATTCATAAGCCTTAGTTAATGATGGTTTATGGACTTCTATACACTTCTGTCTCTCAACGGTGTTTCATTTCAATTTTTACTATCTATTCAGTTGCCTTGAAGCTAACCTTTGGTTCGTTCAAATCAAATTATCATTTATTTTGTGTGTGTGCATGTGTGGTCCCACTGCCTACACGCATCGTATATGAATTACTCTTCATATATATACATCCATATATACAAATATGCAAATATCCATTTATTTATTCAAACATATAAATATGTATATATACATATTATATATCATATATATTTACATTCATACATAGTATACATATAATATATATACATATACACACACATTATATATAAATATATATAAATGTACATAAATGTATATAAATATATAAATATATATATATATATATATTATATATCAAATATGTGTATGTAAACATGTATGTATGTCTGTAAATATGTATGCATACAAGCATGCATGAATGTATGTATGAATGTATGAAAGCATGCATGTATGTAAGCATGTACGTATGTAAACATGCTTCAATGTAAGCATGATGTAGGTATGTATATTTGTACCTATGTATGTAAGCATGTATATATGTATGCATATATGTATGCATATATGTATGTAAGCATGTATGTATGTATGCAAGCATGTATGTATGTATGTAAGCATGTATGTATGTAAGCATGTATGTATGTATGTAAGCATGTATGTATATAGGTATGTATATATGCATGTATGTAAGCATGTATGTATATAGGTATGTATGTATATATGTATGTATGTAAGCATGTATGTATGTATGTAAGCATGTATGTATATATATATATGTATGTATATATGTATGTATGTATGTATATATATATGTATGTATATATATATGTATGTATGTATGCATGTATGTATGTAAGCATGTATGTATATATTTATGTATGTATGTAAGCATGTTTGTATATATATATGTAAGCATGTTTGTATATATGTATGTAAGCATGTTTGTATATATGTATGTAAGCATGTATGTATATATGTATGTAAGCATGTATGTATATATGTATGTAAGCATGTTTGTATATATGTATGTAAGCATGTTTGTATATATGTATGTAAGCATGTTTGTATGTATGTATATAGGTATGTATGTATATATGTATGTATGTAAGCATGTACGTATATATGTATGTATATATGTATTATGTAAGCATGTATGTATATATGTATGTATATATGTATGTATGTATATATGTATGTATGTATATATGTATGTATGTATATATGTATGTATGTATATATGTATGTATGTATATATGTATGTATGTATGTATGTATATATGTATGTATGTATATATGTATGTATGTATATATGTATGTATGTATGTATGTATATATGTATGTATGTATATATGTATGTATGTATATATGTATGTATGTATATATGTATGTATATATGTATATATGTATGTATATATGTATATATGTATGTATATATGTATATATGTATGTATATATGTATATATGTATATATGTATACATGTATGTATATATGTATACATGTATGTATATATGTATATATGTATGTATATATGTATATATGTATGTATGTATGTATGTATGTATGTATGTATGTATGTAAGCATGTATGTATATATCTATGTATGTATGTAAGCATGTATGTATATATGTATGTAAGCACGTATGTATATATACATTTATACATAGACAT